TTTTTTTTAGTTTTCCATCTTGCTTGTTTGTTCTCATTAAATTATAGCATTTCAAGTATTTTGAGATCTTTTTTTTAATTTAGAATTTTTGGCCAAAATCCTAATTAAGCATGTTATTTCTGGTCAGATACAGAATTGTATTTTGTCTGCGTTTTTCTCGTCAAGTTAGAGCATTTTGAGAAGTTGTTTGTTTCAGGAATTTTTTCGGCATAATCCAGATTAACCTTGTCATTTTTGATCAGGTGTTAAAAAATAAGATAAGATTTTTTGGGATTTTTTTTCAAAATGCACAACACACAACTGTGACAAACGGTGAACAGGAGCAGAGCTGATCAGAGACAAAGACCCACTCGTGCTCTGTCTCTTATTGGTTTAGACCACAATATGATTCTAGCATAAATTTCAGTATGATCACAAGAGAACATCGCGAGAAATTGCCCTAATATATAAATATATATTTTCACCCGGGCAGCGTCAGGTGCAATCGTATGACGTGAACAAATTATTAGTTGAACTGTTAAAAATTAAGGTTGCACGTGAAACTCTGGAACCCTGCATACAACATAATCAGACAAGTTTACATATGATTGATGGTTATTTCTAAACTGTGACTCACAGAAGACTAGAGGGTTGTTGCCTCATCAGCTCTGCAGACAAAAAACAGTAGAGAGAAGGGTCATGAGCAGAACTTTGTCCTTATTTGTTTTTTTACACAACAAAAGGGCAATGTCTTGACCCCTCACTCCTCCCCCTTTTTTTGGGATAGTAGTCCTGTCCTGGGTTTGAGTGTCTCACAGCTAAATCCTCTTACACAGACATTGTCTGAAAGCTTTACAGGATGTGGAAAGCAGTAGTTCTGGTTCCCTTACTGGTCCTGGGATTGACCTGGGCCTCTGAGATTGACAAGGTTTCTACAGAACCTATTTTTGAACCACAGGAGAACTTTGACCTTAAAAGGGTGAGTGGTTCTTTTTTTACAGCCTGGTGTTTATGTCTGTTTACTTGTTACATTTAGATTTTGACAAAATTGTTTCTTATTCAATTATATATAAATAAAAGCATAATGTTAAACAATAGTAAAAGTAAACATTTTATTTTCATTTATTTAATTTGTAACAGTGTAAAAGTAGAATCTATAGCTTAAGCACTTTACGTAAATCTATAGAAACATGTCTTTTGGTAGTTATAAAAAGTTTTCATTTTGATGCCATATTAAATAAAAATTAAATAAATCCATGTTTTACTACACTGAAAAAACTGCTAGGTAGGTATGTAGGTAGTTAAAACAGTAGAACTGGGATTGTTGAAATAAAAAAAAAAAAACTTTAGCAACCAACATAATCAAAGTTTGGTAAAAAAAAAACTGAAAGTCATGACTAAAAGTGTAAAAAAAAGAAAAATGTTATAAACAGGTATTTACAACAAAAACACTTCCCCTAATCTAACTTCTTAGATTTAAATTAATTTAACTAGTTAAAGAAAAATACATTTGCAATTTAGATCAAAATATCTAAAATTAGTAGATAAACTAAAGGTTGACTGAAAATATATGAAATTCAAGTTTAGTTAATTACAGTTAAAATGTAAAATTTCTAACCCCATAATCATAAAACTATTAATATTATAAAATATATGGGTCAAGTAAAACCAGGCATTGAACATGCATTGGTTAAATAAAGACAGATATATATTATATTACATACCCAGTGATTACTCTGTTGTCTTGTCACTTTCTAACAGTTCCTGGGAACATGGTACGATATTGCCATGGCCAGTAACTGCCCCCACTTAAAACATCACATCGGAAAAGCGGCCATTGGCAAACTGGTGCTGGAGACCGGAAGCAGCGACAATGTTCTCAACATGACCAAAACTATGCTCAGGTTAGCAATGAGGTGTTTGTGTCCTTACCACAGTACTTAGTATTCATACATTAAGCAAGAAAGGACAAGCTTTTCAAAAAAATATTAAACGTTAAAAAAAGTATAACAGGTACAGTATTTAAATATTTGCCTTCGGAAGTCATAAAGCAGAGAAATATAGCAATAGTAAGGATCCGCTGCAGGGTACAGAGCTTCCTAACAACTACAATTTTTGCATGGGAAATTACAATAAATCTGCATGATGTAAAAAAAAAAACAATATGTATATTTACTATTTTAGGTAAACTATATACCTACATTAAATAGCAACATAAAACACGTTAACAAATTCTTAACAACATGGACAAGAAAAGTGTTGTGTACCAAATTCAATCTAATTTTATATTTAGTGTAATTTAGAGAAGCCAAGACAAAATGTGTCCTTGGATGCCGTCTAGCGGTCAAACGAGGAAACCAGGGTACATTGCAGTGTCCTAGTTTAGGTATTAAAATTACTATTTAGAACTGTGTATGTCACTACTCCGTGGAAACCAATCTCTGTAATCAGTAACATTCTGAACTTTGTTCCTTCAAATATTTATAACAAACAAAGGAGCATAAACAAACCTCCAAATCCACTCTGCTCTCCGTAAGGGGGCCGTTGCTGGTGTCACTCCTCACCAGGTCTTCTCACTTTTTCTTAAGCCTCCTTCCTCTCTGAACTCTGCTCTCCTCCTCCTCTTCTTTTTCTTCACCTGGCACTCCTGTCACTCTCCCCAACGTTCTCGTTTTCAAACAAACTCTTCGCGGATGACCTCATGTTGCCCGAGCCGCTTCCTCTTCCTCGTCCTCCTCATTCTCCGAATCCATTCGAATCATGACTTTATCCTCCCCCCCAGAGTGTCTGTAGATGGGTTTCACCAACGCTATCATTCACTTCTTCCTCCTTAAGTTTTCGGAACCAGAAAGTGGTCCATTATGCTCACTGCTTAGCATTGCTACCACAATCAAACTTGCTGCAGGCCGCCTGACAGCAAACCAACCAATCAAATTCAACGGCTGATAATCATTAGGAACGTTACAAACAATCGGGTTTCTTGTCCAGATTGTTACATGTTATTAGTACAATCCAAGAAAAAATATATATTTTCCATTATTTTCATACAAATAATCGGGTATTTATTCAAATATGTATGCTTGCAGGCATGCCCAAACTGTTCCTCAAAGGGCCGTGTGGCTGCAGGTTTTTGTTCCAACCAACCAAGAGCACATAGTTTGACCAATCAGCTGTCTGAAGACTGAGACCAGGTGATTAAACCTGTCAACTCAGGTGTGCTACTGCTTGGTTGGAACAAAAACCTGCAGCCACAGCGGCCCTTCGTGGAACAGTTTGGGCACCCCTAGGGAAGGCCACAAGGGGGTGCCCTCTCCTCCTGGCCGCCGTTTACTACAAGTGCCGGTTTATGATGGCTGTCTACAGTTATACATCACTTAAGATACTGCGTCTTGAAACGGGTTGAAAAAATATTGCTTTTTTATTTCTTCTTAAGGACAACTTTACTGGTATTTTAGTAGTTTATTTATGTAATATTTATATTAATAAATGGTAGTACTACTGGAAAACACAGTAAGTGGATACATAATACCTAACCTTCATATGATATTTATTGGTCCGTGTGTGTGTGGTTGTGTGTCTAGGCATGGAGAATGTAAGGAAGTCACTGCAGAGTACTACACAACCTCCACACCTGGGGTATTCTTCTACCGTTGCAACTGTATGTCGTATTTTACTTTAAGTATTTACTTTACTTTGTACTGAATATTTTTCAAGCATTGTCCCACACTCTTCTGTGTACTGTTCTGTTCCCACAGTGTGCCAAGCTGATGTGGATGCCTATGTGGTTCACACAAACTATGACGAGTATGCAATTGTAGTAATGAGGATGAAGAGGTCAGCAGAGGTGAAGAGGACTGGAATTAAGTTGTACAGTAAGCACACACACACACACACACACACACACACTTTCCCCAGTCCCTAACATTGACCTTAACTATAGCAAATATTGCCGGGGCCTTATTCGAAATGTTGAACATCTAAATGGCCAAAAATCAGCAAAAATAGTTAACATTATTTTGAATAGAAAAACAGCTAAAAACACTGAACATGCTAACAGTTGGTTTGCCACAATTTTCAAAGAGAAGGTTTGACATCGTATTATATTACAATTTTTATATTACGATGTCAAACAATTAAAGTTTAACAATTATATTTTCATATAATTGTTAAACTATAAAAACAATAAAATATCCCACAAAGTTCTACAATAGTGCTATAAAACCGTTACATGATTTAAATTAATTATCTTACAAGTGCTAAGGGGTCACTCTTTATACAATTTTGTTAACAAATATGGTTTTTATTTTCACTGGCTGACTCACTGTTTATAGGTCGAAAGATGGAAGTGAGAGACTCTGTGCTGGAAGACTTCAAAACTTTGGCCAAAGAACAGGGAATAGATGACAAAGGCATTTACATCAAAAAGAACCAAGGTGCAAAAAAATGTTTCCAATCCATCATAACTCTACACGCACTACAAAGTGAAATAAGTGAAAAACTGTTTTTGGACCATGTGCTTCAGGAGAGTGTGTTCCTGGAGAACCAGTGGTAGAGCCTGAACCAGAACCTGAGCCTGAGCCTCAGGTACCACAACCTCCTCTAATTAAAAACACTTGAACTGTGACAAGACAAAGGGTTGATGGGATGCATTTGTTGGACGATGGAGATAGAGACAATGTATATGCAGAAGCCTATATGTTCTAAGATAAACTAAAGATACATCTTTTAGACAATCCCGCAGGATGTCACAGGTTTCCATTCAAGTTTGGTAAAACATTGCAAGTGTGCTCTATTTTTTGAAATGTGTTCATTTGTTTAGAGGGTTGAAGAACATGATGCATGGCTTAACACTTGACATACTGTTGGTGTAGTGATAAAATGTGTCAAAGCTCTTGGAGACATCAGAGAGACCTGTCTTAGCATGTGCTGATAATTCAAAATGGACATTCTATGAAATGCTAACATTTTGATCACTTTTGAATGTAACATTTTTCTCTTTAACTTCAATCTTTGTCAGACTTTTTGGTAAACCCGCCAGTTATTTCTTATGTTTTGTCTTAGCAAAGAGCCAGGCTGTACTAAGAGATGTTCTCCCTATATCCCTAGTTGATATCCTAATACGCTAATTTTATGCTAATTATGGGATTGAAGTATTTTCTAGATAATCTTTAGTTTATATTTAGCTGACACTTTGGGGTTTTTAGGTAACAACTATTCCGTTACCATTTCTCTGAACTTTGCCTAACTTTTCTAGGGTTCATATTAAAGAAAGACAGGTCTTTATGTTTGGGTTTGTAAAGTCTCATTAAGACTTTTTGACTCAGCCTGGTCTATCTGTATTTTCACAGAGGAATAGGAGACAAGTCCCGACACTCTTATCTGCCGATGAGGAAGGATCTGGCGACAACATACCTTTTTTCAATGGAACTGGTAGGTGACGGCAGCTGGAGTACACCCTGACACACCTGACTGAGAGGAATGGTCAACAGTTGAAACGAAATATTTGTCTGTGTTTCTCAGAGGCCTGTGCTGCAGCTCCTGAAACTGGACCATGTTTTGGATTCCTCTCGCGTTTCTACTACAATTCCTCCTCCATGAGCTGTCAGACCTTCATATACGGAGGCTGTTTGGGAAACCAGAACAACTTTGAGAACGAGAGGGAATGTCTGCAGAGATGCCGGACCGAGGGTGAGGAAAAAGTGGAACGTCCACGTTGGTAAAGTGGGATAATCATGCAACACTTAGAGCATCAGATTGTTGACGGTTTTCTTTTCTTTTGCTCTGTGTGCGTCCAGCCGTGTGTCGTCTGCCCATGGTACCGCAGCCCTGCACTGGTCAGCCACCCATCTGGGCCTTTGACTTCACGGCCGGTCTGTGTGTTCAATACAAAACCGGCTTTTGTCAGGCCAACGCTAACAAGTTCTACAGCAAGGCCGAGTGTGAGGAGTACTGTGGCGTCGTCCAAGACGGTGAGATCCAGAAAAAACAATATGTGCATAAAAAAAAGATGCAAATGTTAATGAAGCTTAAATCATTCTCCGCTTTTTCACAGATGACCTCCTGAGGACAAACTGAGTGATGTGATAAATCTTCTCTACAACTGAAGAATAATGTCAGTGCGCATGAAGTACAAAAGGTTTAATAAACTGAACCTCTGATCTGTTGGTTTTACTGTTGTTTGTTCTTGTCCGTGTCTTCATTCGCCTCTCGGTGGAGTCAACTGATATATAAAAAGACTTACTTTGTGCTTTAAAAATCAGTGGTTAATTTAATGAGGTAGATTTAAATTTAATTACTATCTTTTATTATGCACTTTCACATGAAATAGTTTTCTAAAAATGCAGAATATATATATATATATATATATATATATATATACATACATAGTAAACAAACTATTTCAAGCCCAGGATCAAAAACTAGCTAATAAACAAAAAATATTAAAAACAAATGTATTTATTTGTATATCAATTCATTTAACTCTGATTTTGTGGTTACTAATTACATTGTAAAATCAAAATATATTTTGTTTCGCCCTCGCCTATTATTTATGTTTTATACACGTAACCACTAGGAGGAGACATTTCTCTTTTGTAGGTAAATTCAACTCGCGGTGTTTAGCATACAATCAGTCACGCGCTCACGTTTTTAAGGCGAACAATGGAAAACTCCATCATTCCTGTGTGATGACGTCACTCTGCATCAACCTTAACTTCACCTCACTGGTTGTGATATTTTCACACATTGTTTTAGAGGAAAAATGACAAACTCACTGCAGTAAAAACCAACATCACCCCTCTCTCTTGGCTTGTTCTCCCCCCCTCTCTCTCTCTGCAAAGGAGCCAGGTTTCCTGCTCTTAGTTCCCAGAGTTCCCGGTGGCTGGCAGTAGAATGCTGGGAATATCCGGAGAGGAAGGGGAAGTGACATCACGGCGCTGACCTTCCGTACCAGGCCATATCACCTGGTGCCGCTGGGAGGGAATGAGGGAGGGAAGGGAGCCACCAAAGAAAACAGGCGCATGTACAGTACATTTACTGAAAGTCAGAGAGGAGAAAAGAAAGAGTGCGAGAGGAAAAAATATATATAGAAGGTTCCCACGAACAGGGAGAGAGAGAGAGAGAGAGAGAGGAAGTGATGACTTCAGTTGGTCGTGCACAAAACTTTCCAGTACCTTTACAGAAGCAGGTTGAGCCAAACACACACAAGGCAGGAAAATTCCCACAATCCTTCAGCTGGCGCTGGTCCTGCAGATTATGTTAGACGCTAAAACATCTAAATGTGTCAGTACTACTACTTTTATAACTAAACTAAAGATATTTCTGGTCGTCTTAACTTTTTGTTACATGTTCACCTCACTTCTAGCTGTGTCTAAGCTAACCTTCAGTTACCTGTCAGCTCGTTCTTTTCTAGCAGTTTTTTAGCAGTTGTGCTTCAGGTGGCTAATAGATAGCACTCACTGTAACTAATGGGTGAACATTTGATGTTCTGACATGTAGATATTACAAACTTTTTAACATTACATGCACTTTATGAAATTTATGGTCAAAAAGTAAGCCAGAAACGAATGAAATGCTAGAGAGTAGCTTCAAGTTAGCCCAGAAATAACTGAAAGTAAAGCTTATGTTGAGTTTTTAAAAATCCCTAAGGCCTTTGCACTGATAGTGCAAACTAGCAACTAGCAAGCTGAAACATAAAATAAAGCCTTTAACTTAGCTAAAGGTTAAATGAACTTAAATGTACCAAAAAATATCCCCAAACATCTATATTAGCATAATGTTAGCCACAATGTTAGCCACACCAAGGGAATAGGTAATCTTTGCCAGCCAAACATATAAATAAAAATGCCAAAATCCAATCATTAGTTAAGCAAAAAATGTAAAACATATTCCAGACAGAAATGAATCAAGAAAGCAGCAAATAACCCAGAAAGAGCACAAAGTTAGCCATGAACATAGACAAAAGAAATGAGCTAGCTAGCTCCAGTCTATACATTAACTATATACGTATGATATCCATCGTCAGCAAAGAAACCTCTACCAATATCAGAGCTTATTGCAGCTCAGCAGTCTTTTCAGGGTGGAAAGTGTCTGAGTCCTGACAGCTACCCTCTGAATTTGACAAGAAATTCAGGGACAAACCTGCACCACTATTCCTGGATATGTAGAACGAGCTTGGAGCTTCTTTTTGCTGTTAATATTTCTGTTCTGAAACGTCAATACAGTTAGGCTGCACACAGATGGAGTTGGACCTGAACAGACTGTGAACACATGGCCTGCAGTGGAGACTTCTATCTGACACTTTGATTTGACATTAAATGTTACATTGGTGCTACATGTCAACTGACTGAAAACACATTTTTGGAGAGATTTTTTTTTTAATATATGGGAAATTAAGGTAGTGGGACAGAGAGGATGGGGAATTGTCCACTAAAAACCAGAAGGAGGAATGGAGGGTGAGGAGTAGAGGGAGAGGGGGAGTCTGAGACGGTGTGTGTGTGTGTGTGTGTGTGTGTGTGGTGGAGATGTCATTATGCAGGGTGACAAAAGAAGAAGGGATTCTGGTCAGCTGCTGCTGCTGCTGACTATTGTCCTACAGACAGAGGACCCCCACCACACCCCACCACCATGCTGTCCACACACACACACATGCACGCACACACACATGCATTTTGGATGCATCACTTTCTTTCCTTCTTCAAGTTCAACACTGATTACATGCCTGACCAACTGGCAGCCCCCAGCATTTAAAGACCTCACTTCCCCCCACCCTCCTTTCCCCAGCCCCCCTTCAGCCCCAGCTGTGCAGGTCCTTTAAACTAGTTTTAGGTCTGAACAGACATTTGGGCCCCCCCAAAAATGACAAACTTGTTAAGGGCAAAAGAAAAAAAATCACACAAAAAATGAAATTTTAGCAGGATTAAAAAAAAACAAAAAAAAACTTTTCGAACTACCAGAGAGCCAATCACTGCTCCTGTGACATATAAACAGTGTTGTTTGGTGCAGTGGTTTCCAAACCTGTCAGCATTTGATTTTAAATTTAAAAAAAGAAATGTTCATTTACATGTCTTTATTTTATGGAAAAATCCCACTTAACAAAAGATTTATCCCACGCACCCCCTAGTGGCAACTAGGCACCCTGATTTAGTGGACACCAAACAATGTGGTTATATTTTAATGGGTTTTTCTAAGTACAGCCCTGTTCGTGTAATTATAGTTCTAGAAAACATTTAATTGTCTCTTCCATATTTAATTCAGCTAAAATAATAAAACAAAAATAAAAACACAAAGCAATGTAATTGGTTATTCCAGAAGTAAATTAATTTAAGCTAAATTATTTAAATTAGCTGAAATGATGATGATGATGATGGTGAAGAGCAGAAACTCGTCAAATTGGTCAGAAAACGTCAAAAAAAAAAAAAAAAGAAGCTTAAACAGCTTAAACAGATTAAATGTGTTGAGGGAGTTCAAAGTAAGCTGAAAAGTGATAGCCCAAAAATGTTTCACGTTCCTTCATTAAACACAGGAATATTGATTTTGGGAGTATACGCGGACTGAAAAAGCTGCAGGAGTGAAATAATGAGGGTGGTGCTAATGAGTTGCTTTCCACCTGTGGAGATGTTTTAGTGCTGGATGGAGTGGAGGAGAGCATGAGGGAGGAGGAGGCGACAGATTCAGCACCTCATACAGGCAGCCATGAATGAGGCTCCTTTCTTCCCTTTGTCCCTCAGCTGTGTATGTATGCAGCGCACGTACTTAGAAAAGGTGCTGAGCTCTGCATCAGAATGTATCCTCTGCCCTGCTGCATGTGTGTGTGTTGTTTTTGTCAGTGGTGCTAGTCTGCACAGCCAGAGTTATAAACCTTCAAGTCCTGTTTTTAAGGTAAATATCTAAACCTTTTTAGATGTTTAAAACATGTCCTTACAAAAGCTGACATTTCCATTTCAAATGATAGGCTGAACGCTAAACCAGGAAACAGTGAAAACCTATCCCTGAGCATAGCTAAACATTAGTCCAGGATAACTTTAACATTCAGCTAATGGTAGACATTGGATTATTAATTTGAAAATTATTGAAGTTTTTCTAGTAATAGTGAAAAGTTTATAGTTGGCCCACAAATATTTTAAATTTATGAGGGAGATGGTGATTATATTATAGCAAAAAGTTTTATATTATATTATATTATATTGATGGATTTTTAATAGACAATGAAGGAAAATTGAAGGAAAAACAATAAATGATAAGCCTAGGTAAGCTCAAATTAGCCAAAAACACCACTTAAAAAACATAAAATTGGCAAAAAAAAAATTAGTCTGATGTAGACTATATAACAATTAGCCTCATAAAAGCTATAAAGCACTCAAATATTGGCATGAATGAGAAAAGATCTAGGAGTAACACCAACATTAATAAAAAATGTTAGCCAAAATGTTAGCTATACTAGAACATTAGGAACGCCTTAGTAAAGAAACTATCTACCCAAAAGTTGGTCAAAACATACAGTAGATTGAGCTTACGATCTTAGAAGGTAAAATATATACATAAAAAATAGCTAAAGAAAAAGCTAAAAGTAAGTGGGACAAAAGCATGCAAGAAATTAGTTAAACTGTGAACCATCATATCAGTGGGTTAGCTACGAAAGGCTAAGATAGGTGAGTTTTATTAGCTAAAAAATGATAAATAGTTAACAAAAAGTTACACTACAATGGCCAAAAGTGAACTGAGAAACTAACTGAATATTAATCTACAACAAGCTAACACACAGGCACAAAGTAGTAACAAAATTGGCATGATGGAATAACTGAAATGCCCCGAAAACATGTTTCACCAGGGCAACAAAGACCCCTTTAAAAAAGTGAATTTCTCCCCTTGTTCCAGACCATGTGACCCTTCACCAAGTGACCTCAGAAATCACTGTCTCTCCATTCCCAATGTGTGTGTGTGTGTGTGTGTGTGTGTGTGTGCTGCTGCTGCTGCTGTGGCCCATTCTGCCCTGACTCCTCTGACCTCCCTTTGACTCAGGGGCCACTCTGTGACCAGAGTGTGACACTCACAGACAGACAGACACAATAGGTGACCCTGCACATTCCTGACCCCAGGTGGTAGAAAAGACCTCAGCCAGATCAATGATCCTAATGCTGCCCGGACCAATGGCCGACCATCATTAACCCCTGATGAG